CTGAGCACTTTTTGGATTTGGCTATTTGAGTTTTGATATTGATTATGCCATTTTTTGGTTATTTTTTGTTTGTTTACACTTTTAATTTCTGATTTTGAGATGGGTAGGTTTAGGCTTATTTCTGGTATTTTGAGAGATAATTTAGCTGCTTTATCGGCGCTTTCGTTGCCGTAAATTCCTACGTGGGCGGGGATCCACAAGAAGGTTATTTGTTTGCCTGATTTTGTTAGGTCGTTGGAGCTTTTAAGTATTTGGTTTATTAATTTAGGTCGGTTTTTTGTATTTTTGTTTTGGAGGGCTTGTAGCCCACTAAGCGAGTCAGTGAGAATTAGGATTCTTTTGTTGTTTTTTGATTGTTGGTTATGCAGGGCTGAGGCCATGCCCATAAGTTCGGCCGTGAATATAGATTGGTTGTTAGGGAGTCGATAAGATTGTGTGGATATAACTGGTTGTGTGGTATGGACTCCGAAACCTGTGTGGTTGGAGATCGGGTCTGAAGATCCGTCAGTGTATATGTGACACCAATTTGGCCAATTTTCGTGTATGTAAGAAAGTGTGGTGGTTTTAGCTATGTTTGGGTCGGTTTGTTTATTTATTTGGTTAGTTAGCGTTGTGTCTATTTGGGGTATTTTGAGTTTAGGGGTGAAGATATTTGATTTTTTGCAGTTTTGTTTAAGATTTTGAGTTTGGTGTTCATTGAGGTAGTTAGTTATTCTTTGGGATATTGGGGTGAGTAAGGGGTGTTTGCGAGCTAGAGCTTGGTTTCTTGGGCTAATGTTTTGGTTAATTAGGTTTTGGATGAGAGGGTTTGTTTGGGACGCGGCCCAGAAATTAAGGCTTAGATGTTCCCTGCGTAGATTTAGTGGCATTTCTCCTGTAAGGGCCTGAAGTGAGGTGTAGGAGGTGCCATGTTGGGTGCGTGTAATTAGTTTAAGGGCTTGGTATTGTATTGAGTCAAGTTTTTTAGATAGAGAGTTGTTTAGGGTATTGTATATGGCGCAGCCGTAGTCTAGTTTTGATCTAATTAGTGTTGTATATAGTGAGAGGAGGGTATCTTTGGAGGCTCCCCAGTTAGAGCCGGTGAGACATCTTAATGTGTTAAGGTCTTTGCTGCATCTAGTTTTTAGGTTTTGGACGTGAGCCTCCCAGGTGAGGTGTTGATCGAAAATAAGTCCTAAGAATTTGGTTTGTTTTTGGAATTTGATTGTTTGGTTGTTCAGCTGGAGGATCGGGTAGGCAGGTAAGATAACTTAACCGAAGAGGACGAGTACACATCCTCAGAGGAAATAAACGATCTTACCTTGTCAGCCCCAAAAACCAAAAGCTATAGAAAAACACTCACCCAAAACGTAGCAAGCAAAAAACTAAACAACTTAGTCCTCCTACTAGCTTACATGTTAAAGCAGTCTAATCCAGAAGCCAGCTCCAAAGCCTTCTTTGGTGTAGCACATAAACTACAACTCGTCACCACCTCTTTCGACCGTTTCAGCAGCAACCTTAATAACCTACTAAAGTAAATACCTAAACCAAGCCTAAACCAAACATAAATCCACCCAGTTTCCCAATGGAAGGCCTAAACATTTTTCAATGGAATGCCAATGGCCTCGCCGGCCATGGTTCTGAACTTAAAGCTAAATTCAAAATAGATAAAAGGTCCCCATGTAGCTTGTATTCAAGAAACCAAATTCTCACATAAAACTAAATTCAACCTACCAAATTATAACGCAGTGAGAACCGACAGGTCCAAAACCATCCCAGGCAGAACAGGAGGAGGTCTAATCATCTACGTTAGAGAGGATATAAACTACGAGGAAGTTAAAGTAAACACTCCTAATCTAGAAGCTAATGGAATCCAAGTCACCATCAATAACCAAAAAATAAAAATCATTAACATCTATCACTCAACACTAAAACCAATTAAAGATACAGACCTAGATATCCTTTACCAATTAGGAAATAAATCAACCATCTTCCTAGGAGACTTCAATGCCCATCATCCTACCTGGGGCATTCCAGATAAACTAGACAACCATGGACAACTAATATCAGAGTGGATCGAAAAAAATGACCTAATACTATTAAACAATAACCAACCAACTAGATACGACAAAACCCACCACACCATGTCGGCTATCGACTTAACAATATGTACGCCAGACTTAGCACAAAGTCTGATGTGGGACGTCCACCCAGTACCTCTAGGCAGCGACCACTTTCCCATAAATATAACCCTAGGAAATATAAAAATACCAAATCAAACCCCTAAACAGGAACCTAAATTTCAGTACGAAAACGCCAACTGGGACCAATTCCAAGAATTATGCAACGAAGCTAATCTAAACGATTTAGAAACAACAGACCCCGAAACATTCTGTCAAAACCTAACTAACTTCATAATCAACGCAGCCAAATCCGCAATCCCCTTCAAATCATCCAACCCAGGAAAACCCACTGTCCCTTGGTGGAATGAGGAAATAGAGCTAACTAGACTAAAACGCAAATCAGCTTTCAACAGAGCTAAACGAGACCCCTCTCATCTCAAAACAGCTCATGAACTAAACCACCAAGTCCAAAACCTAGTTAAAACTGCTAAAACCAAAAACTGGAAAAAAAATCTGTGAGGAGCTAAACCACCATACCGACGCTAGGAAGGTGTGGCGCAAAATTCACGCCATCCGAGGCATCAAACGGCACAAAAAAAGCCCCAATATAAACAACTCAACAAACCCCACCCAAAAGGCCAACAACCTAGCCAAACACTTCTCTAAAGTTAGTAGCAACAGTAACTTCAGTAAGAAATTCCAAGATAAACTAAATAAAGAAATAAAATTCTCCAAAGAAATCAGACAAGACAACCTAGAAATAAATCAACCTTACACCATAGAAGAACTAAATCACGTACTAAACAATAGAAAAAAAGGAACAGCCCCTGGCCTAGACCTCACCTCTTACCAAATAATCAAACACTTACCTACCAAACTACTCCAAACTTTACTTAAACTATACAACCTAGTTTACCTAAACGGACAGGTCCCATCCTCATGGAAGGAAGCTCTAGTAATACCAATACCTAAACCAAATAAACCAGCAGATCAGGCAAACTCCTATAGGCCCATATCCCTAACCTCAAATCTCTGCAAAATAATGGAACTTATGACTAAAAATAGGCTACAGCACTACCTAGACCAAAACAACATCATAAACCCCGACCAAAGCGGCTTCACTCCTGGCCGATCAACTCTCGATAACCTTGCCCGACTAGAACAGGATAGAAAGAGGGACATTGTACAGAATAATATATAGTAGGTGAAGGATTAACAGTAACAACAACTGCATACATGAGTGGGAATACATGAGTTAGTGATGACAACAGACGGATAATACTGTCACAACACGGTGGACAGAGAACACATAGGTGTACGTAGGTGTTGACAACAGACGGATAATACTGTCACAACACGATGGGCAGAGAACACATAGGTGTACGTAGGTGATGACAACAGACGGATAATACTGTCACAACACGATGGACAGAGATCACATAGGTGGTAGCCAATGGGACCTGAAGCCAATTGAACAGGATAAGTGCTTATTGCTTAATGAGTTCACAGTAGGCGGATGGGATGAAATAGACTTGATCTCTGTTGATTGATGGCTTGTGGCGGCGAATGTTGACTGCTTACTTACTTACTTACTTAATTTGGAGATTTAACGTGCGCTTTCCGACTGATGCGTATTTCGCACACGGGCCCGGCCAGGCCATTTAATGTGTTTCCGAAAGGGGCGAAAGTGGTGTGTGCAGCCAAAGAGGGGGCTTTAGGGGTTGCTTATATAGAATTTTGGAATTTTGAGATTTGGAATAGATGCCGATGGGGTTGGGGAGGAGAACTAAGGGAGCTGGGTATGGTGGATGTTTGTTTGTTTATGTAATTTTGATTTGGTAGATTATAGTGTTGACTGCTTCTGTTACTTCTCTTTTAGTGAAATCATGGAGGTTGTTATCCACAAAATTGTGTCTACCTTTGCATCCGTCAACTTCTAAGTAATGCCTATCAAACAATTTAGTACAATAAGTAGTTATTTAATAAAGCTGTGAACCTATTACGACGCTTTCTTTATAATTTGTTTTATGACAACCCTGATAATTGGAGCACATCTCCTTGACACTTATCCCACGTGGTCTGTGGTCTCACTATAACTGTGAGCATCATTTTCATCACTGGTATAGTTGTTAAGTCGCATTAAATATGACAAAAATTGAAGTCAAATGACAGTACTTGAACTTACTTAAATATGAACAATATTCAGAGATAATGATCTGGTTGGTTGGTTTATTGTTTAACGCCGCACTCAGCAATATTCCAGCTACATGACAGCGGTCTGTGCATAATCGAGTCTGGCCCAGACAATCCAGTGACTGACATCATGAGCATCGATCCACGCTAATGGGATCGATTACATGTATCAACCAAGTCAGCGAGCTTGACCACCCGATCACGTTAGTCGCCTTTTACGACAAGCGAAGTCGCCATTTACGGCAAGTGTGGGTTGCTGAAGACCTATCCTACCCCGGAATCTTCATGTATGAGTAATACATGTCATCAAACAAATAATGAGTGAAATCTAACTATCCTCGCAGCCTTTTGCCTCTACTCATGAAATATGTAGCACGCAGTCCTTTGTACGAGCAACTTTGCATGTCATAGAAATACTTAATGGTAACAAGGTGGCACTGGCTATTATTTGTTGAGGAAAGTACGGTTGTGATAACATTGTCCACTTACTTACTTATATTGGAGATTTTACGTGCGCTTCCGACTGCAGACGGACATTGTCCAACTTGTGAAGTCTTGAAGTAGTGCTTGATTCCCAATTAAGATAAGAGGTATTGAATCTCAGTGGGACGACCTCGATTTTCAAAACACTGTAGGTTTATCTCCTAATTGTTCAGACGTTGAATAACATGGTTTATGTGTTAAGTTAAGGAAGAAACACAGTGATGCCAGTTTTTTCAAATGATTGTTTTATTGATACCATGTTGATACACGGTCGTTTACATTGTTGCTTAATTGATGAAAAAAATGGGATACATGGCACATTTTTTAATGTTTTAAAAAGTATGTACAAAAACGTTAACGCAACTGTAACATTTAATTATTGTCCCAAATTAAGCCCATATGTTGAAAGTATATGTGGTGATAGACAAGGCTACACACTTTGCCCAGTGTTGTGTTCTATATTCATAAATGAATTAGTTGTTAGTTTAGAAAATAAGTTTACGCATGGTATTGTGGTGTCATAATGTATTTAAACATAATAGCGTTACTGTTTGCAGATGATCTTTTATTAATTGCCGATAGTGTTATAACATTGCAGAGGCGTCTGGATGCGCTACAGTCCTACTCCCAGAAATGGGGTAAGGGAATAAATGTTGAAAAAAGTAAAATAATTGTATTTAAGATGGGTGAAAGATTATCTAAATCTGAAAAATGGTATCATAATGGTATGCAAATGGAAACTGTGTAAATGTATAAATATGTAGGTCTTATGATAACCCCTAAACTTGTATGAACGACAGCATGTAAAATTTTGCCTGAACAAGCTAATAAGGCCTTGTGGCCTTTAAAATCTTTTATTCGGCGTTTTGAATTGTCTCTGAAGGAATCTTTTTATTTGTTTGATAAAAAAATTGTACCAATTTTATCTTATGCTGCAGACATTTGGGGATATAGTAGAGTTGAATGTATAGAGATTGTTCATAGAAAATTTTGTAAATTTATGCTACATATTGGTTATAGATCACCTAATGCTGTTGCATATGGAGAGTGTGGTCGAGTTCCTCTTTATAATGTTTATAGAGTTAAATGTATCAAATACTCGATAAGATTATTGCAAATGAATGTAGATAGGTATCCATATCAATGTTATTTATCACTATTATCGATAGAAAACGTCTAAATTGGGCAACACATGTACGCGATATGTTATTTAGATATGGCTATGGTATAGTATGGATCTCTCAAAATGTTGGAGATGCCGAATTATTTTAAAACCAATTTAAAGAGAGATTGTATACTTGTTCCTCCAAAGAATGGCACTCATCTTTAGATTCCTCTGCATTGTCATTTTACAAAACGCAAAAAATCTTTGTTAGATTGAATTATGTAATTTTGTATGAATATTCGGGTGGGTCAGTTAAGATGTATAGACATAATATTCAGTCAATAACAAATGATCTTCGATGAAGTGCTTTGTTACGTTATTATTATTATTATTTCTGGGAAAATGTAGAAAAAAACGGGTTACCCGTCCACAAGGGGAGATAGCTCGGTCACCATGTTGTTGGAACGACGTCGCATAAAACATTATGGGATATCGCGAAAAATGGATAACGTCATCTTCAATTGTTTGCGTCAATGAATTGATATGACGTCAATTTGCCAAGGGTCCCTTCGCGATCAGAGAAAATAAGACATAAGGCGTGAACTAACCAATCAGTATTGAGGCAAACATTCAGAAGGTCAATGATAATTACTATATATACATTAACTGATAACTGATGTCTGCACTCCTAAGTATATTCATACTTAAGACTTGACTGTATAGCATAGTGAACCATTCAAAAGACACGGGGAAATCTGTGCAGTGACACACTAAAAACGGAATCAAAGCTTGTTATTCTACACGGCAGAATCCTTTGTTTCCTTTCTGATGAGAATGATTGCAAATACAATTTCCAGTACCTGAAACGGAAGACAACACATTTGAGATTGGTACAACACATCATTTGGATTTTTCGATAGAATATAGAATAGTTATCGTTTTAATATTAAAGAAGCGATCACGCAAATGGTGATACCCGACCACGAGCCCATCAGTCAAACGGCAACACTAACAATATCTTCATAGTTCCATGGTCAACCCAGCCCGCACCATGGTCTAGTGGTAGAGCGTCCGCCCGGAGAGCGGAAGGTCTGGGGTTCGATCCCCGGCCGCGTCATACCAAACGACGTTAAAAGATGGTACTGTTTGTTACCCTGTCTGGCGCTCGACATTAAGGGGCTAAAACAAGGACTGGTCGGCTCGGAGTCAGTATACTGTGTCTGAGCGGGGTATTCATGTTAAACTGCGGCATGGTATCTCAGTGTGCTAGCACTATAAATCGGCATCAGTCCGGACTAGTACAAGCAGCCACACACACATACACGTGCATGCACGTCGCTATATAAGTGCAATAATCTTGGACGCGACGTTAAGCCCCATTTCACCTCACCTCACCTCTCGCTCTTTCAGAAATGTACCTTGGTTTATAATCACAGTGTCAGATATTGAAGCAAATCTCTAGCGACAGTCCGCCATGATATTGCTGGAATATTGCTAAAAGCGGCTTAAAACCGTACTCACTCGCTCACTCTAGCGACAGTAGTGAGTGAGTATGATTTTACGCCACTTTTAGCAATATTCCAGCAATAAATGGCGGGGGACACCAGAAATGGGCTTCACACATTGTACCCATATCGGGAATCGAACCCGGATCTTCAGCGTGACGAGCGAACGCTTTAACCACTAGGCTCCCGACCGCCCCTTCTATCAGCAGTACCAAACGGACGGTGTAGTCTTTTTTGAAAACAACTTCCTTGTAGCAGAACAAATTCTAGATGCATAATAGAATAATGTTATCAACATTTCACGACTTTGTTTTGTAGTCATAATTTTAGCTGACCACATTGTGGAGTTATCACTCACCATGAGCAGAAGCAACAGGCCAGCGCCGAGAATGACATACACCTTGTTCTCCTCGACAAGGTCATGGATCCTATCATAGCAGCCCTGGAATGTTAAACGTATTGATGCATCATCAACGTGTCAAAATTTGCTTGAACGGCTTATCGGGAATTGCATATTTCACTCAAGTCAGGTACCTTATCGTAAGAGGTTTAGAGTTTCGTATTTACATAACATGAATAAGATGAGAGTATGTAGATTATTCCACATGATTTAGGAAATTACTCGATTTTGATTGGCCAATCAGAGGTGGTTAAATCTCAATAAACCCTTTCTTATTGAAATAGCCGATTTGACGGCCGCATCACCTTTGAAGCTAATACACACACAGACACACACAGACACAATTGTTCATAGGGACATAGGTAACGTATGGCCTCGGTATGTATGCCCAATGGACAAATGAAACGAAAGTGGAATTCGTTTTTGATAACATATGAATCAAATAACTGACATTTGTCTTGCCTTTGAAATGTTTTATTTATTATTCAGCTGAACTCGTACCTATATACCGATGTGGAGCGAGAATAAATATTTGTGTCAAACAAATATATTCAAAAAATTCTGATTTTACGGAAAGTTAAATACCCTTAACACAGCCCGGCTAACACCATTAGTGAGATATTACAACAAGGGGTCCCAGTCGTCTAAAGCGCCGCGATTCGCTGTGCAGAGTTGTGTCCCTTGGGCACGCCAGAAACCTATGATTGTGGGTTCGAATCCCGGTTCGCCGCAAATATGTTTCTAGGTTTGTCAGCTTCATACCCGTGCTCGTGGGTTTCACCGAAGTGGTAAACGTCTGAGACCTGCATCACTTCGGACTTTCCTCCCACATTAAGCTGACACGCCGCGATATAACTGGAATACTGTTAAAAGCGGCGTTAAACCTAACCCACTCACTCATTATTGCAACAAAGTTACCACTTTGTCCAACTCTTAACACATACCTGAGTATTTGTTATGGTCGGATCGAAAACTCCTACGTGTTTCTTCGCACACTCGAGGGTTGTGTCCCCAGCCAAAACATCCTTCTTACAGCAGGCAGGCGAAGCTTCTATCGTTTCTGTAATACCTTTGTGGTTGTAGGCTGTCCAGGAGGCACTTGTATCAAAGTCAGTTGGCCCAGTTGAAGCACAGCATTGGAGCTGATAAAACAAGAACAGGACACATTAATATTATTTTCATTTAATATTGGTCTTAATTAACATCTTCAACTAAAGGCCATTCAGTGGAAGGCAAAATCAGATTACCTATGTAAATAAAAGACATCAAAGCAGGATTATAACCAGTCTCGATTATCCGCTGTAATATATTTCATCAGGAGTAAAAGGCAAAATAGCGGGGACAAATATGTGAATGGATCACTGGAAAATTATATAAATGACACCAGGTGTTCGTGAAATGGGTAAGCATGTCCTTATCTACCGGTCGCACCCGTCACTTATATACGTACACAATTTGCATAAAAGGTTGCCTGGCGCCGCACAGCTGTACACCTGCCATGTCACGGCGACACGCAAACAAACCAGGCAATGGACCAGAAAAGCCAGATGATGGACCAGAAAATCCATTGATAAAATAGCACATTTACTCATTTTGTTGAAACTAGAAACGAAAAATACTATGTTAATTTTGAATTAAGTGTGATGTGCATAAGTGATGCATCTCCCCGAGGCAAGAGATGAACTGACTTAAAAAGTCGGACAAGGCTGGAATTACTGGACTCGATCGTAGCGCCACCAGTGGCTATTACTAGTTATGTCCCTTCTAAGCCTCTCCTATGGACTAATCAGATTCCACACGTGCACCTCGTATCACTTGCGTTTGCTTCACACAAAATGGTGGCGCCCAGTCAGGACGATCTGATCGATAAACAAGATCTATATTGTGATAAAACGGGCCTTACATCGCGAAATGCATCAACTAACGTGAGCACCTTGATTAAAAACATGAAAAGATTTGGAAAATATCTGCTGACAACAGGTTGGCGGTGCACATGTTTTGAAAATCCTGCAATCGATCGAAATCTGCACGACAGTTTACGAACCGGATTTCGATTTCGGTGCGCGATTTTGATTGGACTATGCATAGACTCGTCAGTCCAACCAAAATGTAACTCCATAATACCAGCCTAGTTAGGCAAGGGGGAAAACTGGACTTTTATAGTCAGTTAACTCCCTTGCCGTGGGAAGATGACGTGATGAGATTCTGCTTCTTGCAAGTAAGGAAAAACGTGCAGTGGGGGCAGTGTTACTGTATCGGAGCAAACATTTTGTTGTTGTCGCTGACTCAGCTGCATAACTTGTGAAACACTGCTTTGAATTTGCCTTCAAATGTGAAGATGAAACAGCTAAAGCTACTTCAAAAGGTTTTCATTCATCGTTTCACATTGAATGTGAATGTGCCAACATAAAAGAGTCTGTTTGTTGATGTTGTCTTTAATTTAACATAATTCTTTCTTTTTGCAGCTATTCCCAGCAGTATAACTGTATGAGACAACGACTCAGGGCAAGAGTGATGCTGTACTCATGTGTCTTTGTTCTATGTTAACGCCTTACTCTCAATATTCCAGCTGTATCACGGGTGTCTGTCAATAGTCAAGTATGGAACAGACAATCCAGTGACTGACATAAACTGCATTCCTCCACGCCTTTGGATGATATGATGATAAGCAATCACCGACTCTGACCACTGATCAATGTAGTCGTCTCATAGGATTATTTGTTTGTTTGTTGTTTAACGCCGTACTCAGCAATATACGAGTATGACGGCGGTCTGTAATCGAGACTGGACCAGACAATCCAGTGATTGACATCATAAGCATCGATCAACGCGATTGGGATACGATGACATGCATCAACCAAGTCAGCGAGCCAGACCACCCGATCCCGTTAGTCGCCTTTTACGACAAGCCTGGGTTGCCGTGGACCTATACACTGACTCGGACTCCTCAAGGGTGATAGTGAGTGTGTGAGTGAGTTGGGTTTGACGCCACTTTTAACAGTATTGCAGTTATATCACGGCGTGTCAGCTTAATTTGGGAGGAAAGCCCGAAGACGTTTACCACTTTGGTGAAACCCAAGAGCTCGGGTATGGTGCTGACAAACCTAGAAACATAATCGGGGCGAACCGGGATTCGAACCCACAATCACAGGTTTCTGGGGTGCCTAAGGGACGCTACTCTGCACAGCGAATCGCGGCGCCTTAGACGACTGGGTCACCCCCGTCCTCTCACGGGTGAGAATATGTGTCTGCTTATGCTCTGGCAACGAGATCATTCCTTCCTTCTGCTCCGAAATATCAGAATAGCAAGAACAGTGTCAGTAACAGTGGATGAGGAAACGGCTGACGACAAGGATGCACCTTGCAGTACACAGTGATGTTGTTATACTCACGGAGTAGGATGCCAAGTCCAGCATGATTGAAAAGGTATCGGTACTGAGTGGTCCTTTGTACTCGTTTCGGATTTGAGTCTTAAATGTTTCCTTGCCTTTGGTGTTGAGCTACAACATTAGAATGGTTGACAATATTAGACAGACATGTAGCCACACACAGCACATTCAATATGGTTGAAAAGTTAATACCTCTGATTCATGTAAAGGCTTGAGTAAGACCATCCCTATTTTACCTGCTATGGGTACATTCCCATTTTACCTGCTATGGGTACATTCCTATTTTCCCTGCTATGGGTACATTCCTATTTTCCCTGCTATGGGTACATTCCTATATTACTTGCTGTGGGTACATCCCTATTTTACCTGCTATGGGTACATTCCTATTTTCCCTGCTATGGGTACATTCCTATTTTCCCTGCTATGGGTACATTCCTATTTTCCCTGCTATGGGTAAATTCCTATATTACTTGCTGTGGGTACATTCCTATTTTACCTGCTATGGATGCATTCCTATTTTACTTGCTGTGGGTACATTCCTATTTTACCTGCTATGGGTACATTCCTATTTTACTTGCTCTGGGTACATTTCTATTTTACCTGCTATGGGTCCATTCCTATTTTCCCTGCTATGGATACATCCCTATTTTCCCTGCTATGGGTACATTCCTATTTTACCTGCTATGGGTACATTCCTATATTACTTGCTGTGGGTACATTCCTATTTTACCTGCTATGGGTACATTCCTATTTTCCCTGCTATGGGTACATCCCTATTTTACCTGCTATCGGTACATTCCTATTTTCCCTGCTATGGGTACATTCCTATTTTCCCTGCTATGGGTACATCCCTATTTTCCCTGCTATGGGTACATTCCTATATTACTTGCTGTGGGTGCATTCCTATTTTACCTGCTATGGGTACATTCCTATATTACTTGCTGTGGGTACATTCCTATTTTACCTGCTATGGGTACGTTCCTATTTTCCCTGCTATGGGTACATCCCTATTTTACCTGCTATGGGTACATTCCTATTTTCTCTGCTATGGGTACATTCTATTTTCCCTGCTATGGGTACATTCCTATTTTCCCTGCTATGGGTACATTCCTATATTACTTGCTGTGGGTACATTCCTATTTTCCCTGCTATGGGTACATTCCTATATTACTTGCTATGGGTACATTCCTATATTACTTGCTGTGGGTACATTCCTATATTACTTCCTATGGGTACATTCATATATTAATTGCTATGGGTACATTCCTATATTACTTGCTACGGGTACATTCCTATTTTACTTGCTATGATTACATTCCTGTATTACTTGCTATGGGTATATTCCTATTTTACCTGCTACGGGTACATTCCTATTTTCCCTGCTATGGGTACATTCCTATATTACTTGCTGTGGGTACATTCCTATTTTACCTGCTATGGGTACATTCCTTTATTACTTGCTATGGGTACATTCCTAAATTACTTGCTGTGGGTACATTCCTATTTTCCCTGCTATGGGTACATTCCTATATTACTTGCTATGGGTACATTCCTGTATTACTTCCTGTGGGTACATTCCTATATTACTTCCTATGGGTACATTCATATATTAATTGCTATGGGTACATTCCTATATTACTTGCTATGGGTACATTCCTATTTTACTTGCTATGATTACATTCCTGTATTACTTGCTATGGGTATATTCCTATTTTACTTGCTATGGGTACATTTCTATATTACTTTCTGTGGGTATATTCCTATATTACTTGCTTTGGGTACATTCCTATATTACTTGCTATGGGTACATTCCTATATTACTTGCTATGGGTGCATTCGCATATTACTTGCTATTGGTACATTCCTATATTACTTGCTGTGGGAACATTGCTATATTACTTGCTATGGGTACATTCCTATGTTACTTGCTATGGGTACATTCCTATTTTACTTGCCATGGGTATATTCCTATTTTACTTGCTATGGGTACATTCCTATATTACTTGCTGTGGGTACATTCCTATATTACTTGCTATGGGTACATTCCTATATGACTTACTATGGGTACATTCCTATATTACTTGCTATGGGTACATTCCTATATTACTTGCTATGGGTGCATTCGCCTATTACTTGCTATTGGTACATTCCTATATTACTTGCTATGGGAACATTGCTATATTACTTGCTATGGGTACATTCCTATGTTACTTGCTATGGGTACATTCCTATTTTACTTGCCATGGGTATACTCCTATTTTACTTGCTATGGGTACATTCCTATATTACTTGCTGTGGGAACATTCCTATATTACTTGCTATGGGTACATTCCTATTTTACTTGCCATGGGTACATTCCTATTTTACTTGCTATGGGTACATTCCTATATTACTTGCTGTGGGTACATTCCTATATTACTTGCTGTGGGTACATTCTTATATTACTTGCTATGGGTACATTCCTATATTACTTGCTATGGGTACATTCCTATATTACTTGCTGTGGGTACATTCTTATATTACTTGCTATGGGCACATTCCTATATTACTTGCTATGGGTACATTCCTATATGACTTACTATGGGTACAATCCTATATTACTTGCAATGGGTACGTTCCTATATTACTTGCTATGGCCACATTCCTATATTACTTGCTATGGGTACATTCCTATATTACTTGATATTGGTACATTCCTATATTACTTGCTATGAGTACATTCCTATATTGCTTGCTATGGGTACATTCCTATTTTATTTGCTATGGGTACATTCCTATATTACTTCCAGACAGCGGGCACGGATGATCTAGTCTCCCGAGGCGCCTCGATTCGTTATGTATGTGTCGTCCTTGGGGTGTACCAGAAAATGTATGATCGTTCCTAAAACCTTTTGCGTTGCATATGATAGTCTAGTGAGTGAATGTCTAAGGCGCTGCGCAGGGTTGCATCCCTTGGGCACGCCAGAAACCTATGATTGTGGGTTCGAATCCCGGTTCGCCCCGATTATGTTTCTAGGTTTGTCAGCACCATACCTGTGCTCGTGGGTTTCACCGAAGTGGTAAACGTCTGTGACCTGCATCACTTCGGGCTTTCCTCCCACATTAAGCTGACACGCCGTGATATAACTGGAATACTGTTAAAAGCGGCGTTAAACCCAACTCACTCACTCACTAAGACCGTAATATCCACTGGAATATTGCCCAAACGGCGTTCCATAAAACTCTTTAACTTTTATCCCAATCTTTTTTTCTATGAGTACATTTCTATGTACCTTACATTTGTTTGTTTGTTTGATGTTTAACGCCACACTCAGCAGTATTCCAGCTGTATGACGGCGGTCTGTAAATTATCGAGTCTCGACCAGACAATCCAGTGATTGACATCATGAGCATCGATCTAAATTGGGATACGATGACATGCATCAACCAAGTCAGCGAGCCAGACCACCCGATACCGTAAGTCGCCTCTTACGACAATCATAGTCGCCTTTTACGGCAAGCATGGGTTGCCGAAGACCCCTTCTATCCCGTATTTCCACGGGCCATGTACCTTACATGTACTGTACAGTGGAGTCCTGCCGTTATTCCTATATGACGTAGAGGGGAATGACCGATTAACTCTCCATTCCTTAAAAATAATGGGACCGAGGCCGATTAATTTTAATGAATGGAGAGTTACAAGGATATTGCCAAACCTAGAATATATATGCCTACTTTTACACTTTGACAAAACATTCTCTTGTGGAAAATATTTAAAAAAAAGACCAGAACTCTTTGTTGACTGCATTTAAATTGGGCAAGTCGCCTTGCTTGATGTACGAGGGATGCGTTCTCTGGCGCTGTTGCACGCACACCAAGTGTACACGGTTCTTTTAGGTTTCGAGGAGTCCTAAACTGGTATTTTACCAATCGCTTGCACGTCGTATATACATGCTGACGGGAATTATAGGAAATATAGAGCAATATCACGACGGGGAACACCAGAAATGGGCTTCACACATTGTACCCATGTCGGGAAACCACTAGGCTACTCGACCGCCCCGCCCCTGATTCATGAACAAGGATATATATATATATATATATATATATATATATATATATATATATATATATATATGTTTACCTGATTTTTTTGGTGGGGCGGTGGGGTAGCCTAGTGGTTAAAGCGTTCGCTCGTGACGCCGAAGGCCCGGGTTCGATTCCCCACATGGGTGAAGCCCATTTCTGATGCCTCACTCACTCGCCCAACAATTGCTACACTCCTATATTGTTTACGGATGAGTCATTATACTATGGGTACCTTAATATGTTACTTACAAGAAAGTCCTGTCGCAATGCTATATTCCAATATCACCAACGGGCGAGTGCTGTCACTATGGGTATATTCTTAAATCACTTACGGGTGTGTCCTGTCACTATGGGCATAGTCCGAAATGCCTTACGGACGAGTGCTGTCACTATGGGTATATTTCGAAATGACTTACGGGCGAGTGCTGTCACTATGAGAATATTCCGAAATCACTTACGGGCGAGTCTTGTCAATATGGGTATATTCTGAAATCACTTACGGGCGAGTGCTGTCACTGTGGGTTTATTTCGAAATGCCTTACGGGCGAGTGCTGTCACTATGAAAATATTGCGATATCACTTACGGGCGAGTGCTGTCACTATGGGAATATTCCGATATCACTTACGGGCGAGTGTCGTCACTATGGGTTTATTCTGAAATCACTTACGGGCGAGTGCTGTCACTATGGGAATATTCCGATATCCCTTACGGGCGAGTGCTGTCACCAGGGGTATATTCTGAAATCACTTACGGATGAGTGCTGTCACCGTGGGTATATTCCAAAATGACTAACGGGCGAGTGCTGTCACTATGGGAATATTCCGATATCCCTTACGGGCGAGTGCTGTCACTATGGGAATATTCCGAAATGACGTACGGGCAAGTGCTGTCACTATGGGAATATTCCGATATCACTTACGGGCGAGTGCTTTCACTATGGGAATATTCCGATATCACTTACGGGCGAGTGATGTCACTATGGTTATATTCTGAAATCAGTTACTGGTGAGTGTTGTCATTATGGGTATATTCCGATATCACTTACGGGCGAGTCCTGTCACAATGGGTATATTCTTAAATCACGTACGGGCGAGTGCTTTCACTATGGGAATATTCCGAAATGCCTTACGGGCGAGTGCTGTCACTATGAAAATATTGCGATATAACTTACGGGCGAGTGCTGTCACTATGGGAATATTCCGATATCACTTACGGGCGAGTGTCGTCACTATGGGTTTATTCTGAAATCACTTACGGGCGAGTGCTGTCACTATGGGAATATTCCGATATCCCTTACGGGCGAGTGCTGTCACCAGGGGTATATTCTGAAATCACTTACAGGCGAATGCTGTCACTAAGGGTATATTCCGATATCAATTACGAGGAGTGTCGTCACTATGGGTTTATTCTGAAATCACTTACGGGCGAGTGCTGTCACTATGGGAATATTCCGATATCCCTTACGGGCGAGTGCTGTCACCAGGGGTATATTCTGAAATCACTTACGGATGAGTGCTGTCACTGTGGGTATATTCCAAAATGACTAACGGGCGAGTGCTGTCACTATGGGAATATTCCGATATCCCTTACGGGCGAGTGCTGTCGATTTGGGAATATTCCGAAATGACGTACGGGCAAGTGCTGTCACTATGGGAATATTCCGATATCACTTACGGGCGAGTGATGTCACTATGGGTATATTCTGAAATCAGTTACTGGTGAGTGTTGTCATTATGGGTATATTCCGATATCACTTACGGGCGAGTCCTGTCACAATGGGTATATTCTTAAATCACGTACGGGCGAGTGCTTTCACTATGGGAATATTCCGATATCCCTTACGGGCGAGTGCTGTCACCCTGGGTATATTCTGAAATCACTTACGGGCGAGTGCTGTCACCATGGGTGCATTCTGAAATAACTTACGGGCGAGTGCTGTCACTAGGGGTATATTCTAAAATCACCCACGGGCGAGTGCTGTCACTAAGGAAATATTCCGATATCACTTACGGGCGAGTGCTGTCACTATGGGAATATTCCGATATCCCTTACGGGCGAGTGCTGTCAACAGGGGTATATTCTGAAATCACTTACGGGCGAATGCTGTCACTAAGGGTATATTCCGATATCAATTACGAGGAGTGTCGTCATTATGGGTTTATTCTGAAATCACTTACGGGCGAGTGCTGTCACTATGGGAATATTCCGATATCCCTTACGGGCGAGTGCTGTCACCAGGGGTATATTCTGAAATCACTTACGGGCGAATGCTGTCACTAAGGGTATATTCCGATATCAATTACGAGGAGTGTCGTCACTATGGGTTTATTCTGAAATCACTTACGGGCGAGTGCTGTCACTAAGGAAATATTCCGATATCACTTACGGGCGAGTGCTGTCACTATAGGAATATTCCGATATCACTTACGGGCGTGAGCTGTCACTGTGGGTTTATTCCCATATCACCTTCCATCGAATCCTGTCACTATGCGTATATTTTGAAATAACTTACGGCCGGGTGATGTCACTATGGGTAATTCCGATATCACTTACGGGCGAGTTGGTATACTCAAATAGTACTTACGAGCTGCCTTTCTGCTATGTGTGCACTTCTATGTTGCTATGTTCTATTCTAACAGACGAATCTTGCCGCTGTAGGAACATTCCTATTTTACTTACAGACGGGTCCTGCTACTGCGGGGACATCCCTATTTTACTGACAGACGGGTGTTGCCACAATGGGTACAGTCCTTTATTACAAACCGTCCTATCTTACCGATATGGGCACAATCCTATATTACACAGTCCTATCTTGCCATTATGGGTACAATCCTATATGACACAGTCCTGTCTTGCCACTATGGGTGCAGTCCTATATTACACAGTCCTATCTTACCGATATGGGTACAATCATATATTACACAGTCCTATCTTGCCACTATGGGTACAATCCTATATTACACAGTCCTATCTTGCCACTATGGGTGCAGTCCTATATTACACAGTCCTATCTTGCCACTATGGGTTCAATCCTTTATAACACAGTCCTGTCTTGCCACTATCGGTACAATCCTATATTACACAGTCCTGTCTTGCCACAATGGGTACAGTCCTATATTACACAATCCTATCTTGCCACTATGGGTACAATCATATATTACACAGTCCTGTCTTGCCACTATAGGTGCAGTCCTATATTACACAGTCCTATCTTGCCACTATGGGTACAATCCTTTATAACACAGTCCTGTCTTGCCACTATCGGTACAATCCTATATGACACAGTCCTGTCTTGCCACTATGGGTGCAGTCCTATATTACACAGTCCTATCTTACCGATATGGGTACAATCATATATTACACAGTCCTATCTTGCCACTATGGGTACAATCCTATATTACACAGTCCTATCTTGCCACTATGGGTGCAGTCCTATATTACACAGTCCTATCTTGCCACTATGGGTTCAATCCTTTATAACACAGTCCTATCTTGCCACTATCGGTACAATCCTATATTACACAGTCCTGTCTTGCCACAATGGGTACAGTCCTATATTACACAATCCTATCTTGCCACTATGGGTACAATCATATATTACACAGTCCTGTCTTGCCACTATAGGTGCAGTCCTATATTACACAGTCCTATCTTGCCACTATGGGTACAATCCTTTATAACACAGTCCTGTCTTGCCACTATAGGTGCAGTCCTATATTACACAATCCTATCTTGCCACTATCGGTACAATCCTATATTACACAGTCCTGTCTTGCCACAATGGGTACAGTCCTATATTACACAATCCTATCTTGCCACTATGGGTACAATCATATATTACACAGTCCTGTCTTGCCACTATGGGTGCAGTCCTATATTACACAGTCCTATCTTGCCACTATGGGTACAGTCCTATATTACACAGTCCTAGCTATCTTGCCACTATGGGTACACTCCTATATTACACAGTCCTATCTTGCCACTATGGGTACAGTCCTATATTACACAGTCCTACCTTGCCATTATGGGTACAATCCTATTTTACACAGTCCTGTTTTTCCACTATGGGTACAATCATATATTTCACAGTCCTGTCTTGCCACTATGGGTACAGTCCTATATTACAAAGTCCTATCTTACCACTATGGGTACAATCCTATATTACACAGTCCTGTTTTGCCACTATGCGTACAATCCTATATTACACAGTCCTGTCTTGCCACAATGGGTACAGTCCTATTGTACTTACGGGCGAATCTCTGACGAAGAGGAGTCCTACCACTGTGGCCACAGCGATGCACAAGATGCCCATTAGGATACAGAACTGTCAAACAAAAGAGAAACACAACATGCAAATGAAACTCGCACATAAGTCAAATAACATTAATATTTTCTTTGTGGATATGGATTTGCAAACCTGCGCTAAAATCATGTACATCACGGTAAAAATCATTTTTCGTTGAGTTTCATTTTTAAAGGACTGGAATTTTACAGTTCGGTTTTGTGTGTTTGGATGCTGAAAAGTTAAAACAAAAGCTGCTTCGTGTTTTACGTTAAGACATTAATTATTGTGTCTTCTAACCTGTTTAGTACATCGATAATAACAGCATCTTAAAATTGCTCTGACATAGGCAGTGTATTCTGAGTAAGGACAGGCTGTCTTATCCAGCAACACTTTCATCATAGTATTTGGTTATGACCGAAATGTTTTGACGGTTTATTTGGTGTTTTGCTGTTTAAAATCACCGAGAGTAGAATGTTCGTATTTTCCATACTGCATTGTCTGCACTAATGGTGTATAAATTATGAAAAACCCTATGAAGTATTTTCTCAAGACCGATATGTATTGTTCGGTATTGTGTATTGCTTTTAAGTGACAGTACATATAATTTTCTTATAACCTTGAAATCATATATTGTTTGTTTGTTTGTTGTATAACGCCGAACTCAAGCTTTATGACGGCGGTCTGAAATAATCGAGTCTGGAACAGACAATCCAGTGATTGTCATCATGAGCACTGATACCTACAATTCGGATACTATGACATGCATCAACCAAGTCAGCGAGCCTGACCACCCGATCCCGTCAGTTGCATCTTACGACAAGCATAGTCGCCTTTTACCCTTTTACCGCAAGCATGGGTTGTTGAAGACATATTAAATCATATAACAAAACATTAGCAAACATGTATCTATTTAGTATGCGACCGTCCATTTTTATATGGATGTTTGGGCGTTAGATGCAAAAGCAGATTTATTTTTTAAAGTTAAAGTTATTATCCTAAATATTAAAAGAAAACACACACCTTAAGATACTGTATTGTGTGTAGCAAAATTCAGACGCATACATATCTTGTTCAATAATTATCTGAGACAAGTACTTTGTTTCGATAAAATCCTAAGACACCCCCCACCTTGACCCCCGGACTATCAATGGTTGGTTCCTGAGACTTTAATAATGAACATAACACACTTACTATGATGAGGAAAACTCTGTTGCCGCAGCATGCGCCATAGCAGCCGAAGAAACAGATCACAAACAGTCCGGCGCCGAGGACAAGTAGAGCCAGACCGATGTTACTGACGACTGGTACAGAGGAGACGGTTGTAGAGATATTGAACGCGGTTATACCCGATGCAGCTTGCAACACGTAGGTCAACAGTAACCCTGGTCGAAACTTGAGGATCGCCCCAATAACCAGCAAAGACAAGGCAACACTCTGTAACAGCAACGACCACATTAAAAATAGCAAAAGTACAGTTTCGTAACATATGTATCAATACTGCTTAAATTAAATACCTCAGAACCATGACAGGCAACACTGCATTATAATATTATAATTACTACTACTACTACTACTACTACTACTACTACTACTACTACTACTACTACTACTACTACTACTTGGGGCCCAGTAGTCTTAAGGCGTCACAATTTGCTGTGCAGAGTTGCGTCCCCTGGCTACGCAAGGAACCTGTGATTGTGGATTCGAATCCAAGTTCGTCCCATTACGTTTCTTGGTTTGTCAGCACCATATCCGTGCTCAAGGGTTTCACTGAAGTGGTAAGCGCATAAAATCTGCATCAAATCGGGCTTTCCTCCCACAATAAGCTGACAGACAGTGATATAACTGGGATATTGTTTAAAGCGGAGATAAACCAAACTTCATCACCTTTCTGGCTGTCTTCTCATTATAAAATGACACACCGTGATATAAGACAAATGCTGTTCAAAGCGACGTTAAACGAAAATCACTCACTTACGCTCAAGTTAAAGTTCACCTTCATGCGCTACCTGTGACATGTCGTCATTAATAACAACATGACTGAAATGATTGTTTTTGTTTTGTTTGTTGTTTAACGTCGGACTCAGCAATATTCCGGCTATATGAAGGCAGTCTGTAATTAATCGAGTCTGGACCAGACAATCCAGTGATTGACATCATGAGCATCGATCCACGCAACTGGGATCGATGACATGCATCAACCAAGTCAGCAAGCCTGACCACCCAATCCCGTTAGGCGCCTCTTACGACAAGCATAGTCGCCTTTTATGGCAAGTATGGGTTACTGAAGACCTATTCTACCCCGGATCTTCACGGGCCTAACTGTTAGGATACAACACATAGTGAACAAAGCGTCCGTGGCTAGACCGTAGACTCTTGAATGTGTTCAATTTCTTATGTGATACACGAATATGAATACCGCTATGTTTACGCGTTAGTGTGGCATTCACTATGTCCCACGTATAGTCCATTAGTAAGGGTATACCGTCACGCTTCAACATTGCTGAATAACTCAGTGGTGGACTGTCGTTGTTATTTGTTGACACCCCTGTCGTTCCAGTAAAATTATTTTCGTCACGGTCCCATGAATCTAGCTATACTGTCGCATAAAGCATTCAATAGAAACTCCTTCAGCTTTCGGCGATACTTCATACCTCTTTCAGAGGGTTAAAACACCACTGAGTTTATGTTCCTCCGATAGTGGTAAGTTTGTCCGATCTGAATCAGAGTATAGATCACCAACTGTTTTGGGATCCGGGTAGTTTATAGAAAGTATTTTATTTACAGTTACAGCCAGGCAGTCATTAAATATGACGATAAACTTTCTCAAAATGTTTCTCATATTTCAAATATGTAATATCAGCGTACTGTATTACTTTCATTAGGCGACCGGTATATGTACTTGCCGTAAAAGGCGGAATCGGGTGGTCAGGCTCGCTGACTTGATTATTTACAGACCGCCGTCATATAGCTGGAATATTGCTGTGTACGGCGTTCAAAAACAAACAAAACAAAAAACAATCCTATCAGTCATGTTGTTATTAATGACGACAACAAACAAACAAACAAACAAAATTGAAAGCGTGTTCTCATCGCCATTTGGATGAGAATTGCCGATGCGGTGAAACAATTATCTTCCTTTCGTAGACTTCTTGATACTGGGGTGGTGTTATCGAGGGTTACTCGGGGAAAATAACGAATGGTGGTTAGTTGTCACTAACCTGACAAGAATACACGACCCATTGATCAGTGAGTGATTAAGTCTTGCGCTGCTGATATATTCCAGCAATATCACAGGATTGACAAGAGGACTTCGTCTCACACACTGTAATCATGGGAGGAATCGAACCCTGGCATAAGGAGAGACTAGTGAACGCTCGAACTCAGATTAGGTGGACGTCACTTACATTTGTATATACTCTTCAAAACGACACTCAACACAACTCACTCACTCATATCTGATAAATAATTCCTACATGGGAAACATATGACAAAACAATGTTAGTTCCAGTAAAGTTTCCAAGATAAGAGATATAATTATTATGATCTTAAAAAAACATCGAATCAAGCTTATTTCATTTGAAGAATACGTTAATTCAACGGGATATAACATCATTACAGAATTGTATATGAATTCCAAAGTTACATATATGAGTTTTGTTAATACATACCGTGAAAACGACATTCAGTAATATAAGCACACATTGTCCAACACTTGAGAATAATCCCATTTCAAAGCTGGTTCGGGAATAGGTAAATATGCAGGAGATGGTCTTGTAGAGACACCAGTTTAAGGGTATGTGAGTCAGGGTATTCGTCTATATACGTGTTATATACCGTATTCGACGTAATAAGCGCCTACGGGTATATTTGCAAATATATTGGCTAGTGAACAATCCCAATTAGCACCCCTTCCGATTGATCAATGTACACAAGTCTTATTTATTCGTGTATAATACGCTCTCGTGTGTTATATGCCTTAATTATGGGCCTTTAAATTCTGGAAAAATATATCTGTCGTATATAAACATTTCAGGCTGTCAGCATAAACCACGGAATTTACGATCTTTCATTTCTTTTTTTTCCCCACCAAAATAATATTCTAATAATAGCTCCCTATTTCAAATTTTGAGAGCGCCCTGGGCCCTTATCACGTCGAATACGGTATATCCGTTAATAAAAGAACTAAAAAAAAAGAACGTCGCCTGATATTTGAATGCATGTGGTGTTTCAATGAGGCAGTCACAAGACGAGGTGGCCGTATTCACTGTAAACAGTTTATTTAAATGCAAGGAGAAATATATTGTTGGAATTGCTCGCTCACTGTTCCTCTGCATTCAGTACTGAATGAGATTTCGCAACGTTTTGAGTGACAACCCTTCAACACATAACAACGAGTCAACAACGGATATGAATGTACTACGTCAACGCCAGAGTATAACCATTACTAAATGTCCTCATGTTTGATAAGCTGTTGCTCTGTTGCTTTATTGCACAACACATGTGGGTCGATCCAACGTTATTTCTTAAATTCAATGTCAAGAGTTCTGAGGACAAATTATAAGCTGACGTCAATCCGCGCGAGATGGATAAATTGATTGAAGCGCTGGTAAGATATCGAGTACATTCGGCGGCAACGAGAAAGTGGAATTAAAAGTTACCAGGTTGTTGACAAATTCACAGTCTTGATCTTTCGAGAAGTTTCGGGATGGCATAGCTTCTGGAGTGACACGAGGATGATTCGAGGCCTGACCTGTGCCTTTTCTACTTGCCAAGTGGGAAACCTAGCCCAAACACCAAAATCATGCCAATTTCCAACATTATTCAAATTCCAAGTGAGATGAGGTGAAATTGGGTTTAACGTCGCGTCCAAGATTATTGCACTTATATAGCGACGTGCATGTACGTGTGTGTGTGTGTGTGTGTGGCTGCTTGTACTAGTCCGGACTGATGCCGATTTATAGTGCTAGCTCACTGATATACCATGCCGGAGATTAACATGAATATCCCACTCAGACAGGGTATACTGACTCCGAGCCGACCAGTCATTGTTTTAGCCCTTTAATTCCGAGCGCCAGACAGGGTAACAACAAGTACCATCTTTTAACGTCTTTTGGTATGACGCGGCCGGGGATCGAACCCCGGACCTTCCGCTCTCCGGGCGGACGCTCTACCACTAGACCACGGAGGCGGTCCCAGATCCAAGTCCAAACTGTAAGTTGGGGTGAGTTCAAATAATGATGAGGTGAAAAAGGTTCTTCAGAAGGCTTATCAGTTAGTCACTGAGGCATATCGGCAAACAATTAGGCAGTAGATGTTCATGTTGAATTTGTTGGGGAAAAGTAACTGTGTTTTGAAGGTGGTGCTTGTCGAAGTATTTTGACGATGATTTTGAGGCAGCTGATTTTGTTGGAAGATTTCAAACAATATGTGGATGCACTTGTTTGGATCAAGAAAAGTTGATGGTCAGTTACGCGAGGCGTCATGTTTTCAGATAAATCCTCGGTTACTCAAATAGGGATGGTCGCTATTTCAATGAATGGAATCTTTTATTAATACTAGGAATAATTATATGAAATAATGTAGATATAAAAGGTATAAATTTGAGTAATGTTGAATTCCTCATACAACAGTTTGCATACGATACATTGATGTGTATTAGTTGTTTGGTTTGTTGTTTTACGCCGCACTCAGCAATATAACAGACATATGAAGGCGGTCTGTAAAATAATCGAGTCCGGACCAGACAATCCAGTGATTGATATCATGAGCATCGATCCACGCAATCGATGATCTGCATCAACCAAGTCAGCGAGCCTGACCACCCGATCCCCTTAGTCGCCTTTTACGACAAGCATAGTCGCCTTTTATGGCAAGCATGGGTTGCTGAAGACCTATTCTACCCCGGATCTTCACGGGTCAATTGTGTATTATATGGAACTGAACGCTGTCAACATGCAGGACTGCAAAAACCTATTGTTTTTTGCACTTTCTCTGGGCTAAAAGTAAACATTGATAAGACACGGCTTATTTGGATAGGGTGAAAAAATAAATGTATGTATGTTCATGATGTCAGTCACTGGACTGTCTTGACCAGGCTCGATTATGTACAAACCGCCGTCATATGGCTGGAGTATTGCGCGAGTGCGGCGTTAAACAACAAACAGATAAAAAACTCCTACACACTCATTCTTATGAAATACCCGTGAGGTAACGCACACACATTCACTTACTTACTCCATAAAAGGCGACTAACCGGATCGTGTGGTCAGGCTCGCTGACTTGGTTGATACATGTCATCGATCCCAATTGCGTGGATCGATGCTCATGATGTCAATCACTAGATTCTCTGGTCCAGACTCGATTATTTTACAGACTGCCGTCAAGTAGCTGGAATATTACTGAGTGCGGCGTTAACAAACAAACAAACAAACAAACAATCCGTTGATTGACATCACGAGCATTGAGCTACGTGAGTGTGACACGAAGGCGTCTATGCGCATGATGCATCGTACAATGTTGATTTTATTCATGGTGCCATTGAGGATCAAACTCAGGTTCGTTGGTTGAATGTTTTCATTTATAAACATAGGTTAAGTGGATGTAGTTTCTTTAGCGGATCAAATCACAGCAACCAACCAGCGGATGATCCTCCATTGATTGAAAATCTAGGGGAAATTTCAAACATGAGTCATCCAAATAAGTTCCAATGATTACGTCCCTATTTTGGTATCTTCTGTTTTGTCTAATAGCACGACCATCATTGGTCATGTCATTGTTGCACCTGGACAATTATACATTCGTGATCCGGTTTAGAATAGGTCTCCAGCAGCCAAAGCTTACCGTAAAAGGCGACTTTGCTTGTCCTGAGAGGCGACTAACGGGATCGGGTAGTCAGGCTCACTGACTTGGTTGATGCATGTCATCGTATCCCAATTGCGTGGATCGATGCTAACTGGATTGTCTGTATAGCTGGAATATTGCTTAGTACTGCATTAAACAATAAACCAACAAACAAAACTTTCCAAGGCTAGACCAGTCCTGTCTCACTTGAACATCACATAACATTCCCCTAAGAACCCTTTACATCCATCTATGCTATTCCCGAAGTTTTTCGATAATTCGAGCATCTGAATATAATAACTTCCTCACCATTGCTTCAAAAAAAATAATAGTACATTCCTGACAAGTAACCATTGTCCAAACACAACGCAATGAACTTCTACTGAATCTAAACAGAACAATGTAATACAGTTACGAATCGCACTTCTATATAACAGGAAGGATACGCTTACCTTTTCGCGAACACCGGGTATCATCACTATTTAATAGTGATTCATTGGCACGTGCTTATGACCATAGTCGGAATCGTAAAATGGACTCTGATTTTTGCAGAGATGTTTTATCTTTTTTGTTTGTGTATTGTTCAACGCAACACTCTGCACCCTGCTATGTGACGGCGGTCTGTAAATAATCGAGACTGGACCAGACAATCAAGTGATAGACATCATGAGCATCGATCCACGCAATTGGGATACGATGACATGCATGAACCAAGTCACCAAGCCTGACTACCCGATACCGTTAGTCGACTCTTATTGAAGATCAATTCTAACCCGGATCTTGATCGGTCGAGAAATAAAGGTACGATCAGCCGCGGGACTTGCTGTTTCATGTAGAAAAGTTGCAGAAAGCATTACCGAGGAACAAGAAGCCCTGCTGTGGGAGACAGGGCCACAGGAAAAGTACATGCAACGAAAGCCTCTGGATAGCATCATGTATCACAAAGGTTAATAAGAGTATTTTTGTTAATTTTAATTCAGTAGTAACTGTCTACTACTCAAATTCTGTTTGCAACAAACTCATTATTATGCAATAACCTTTATTGTCCAAAAGTATGTGCGATCATATAATACTAGTTGTCTTTTATAATTGGAAATGCCTTCGTAGCTATTATATAACAAAATTATGATATGGAGGTACACATAAACGTGTAATACACCGGTCTGCTTAAACATCGGTCTGCTTAAACATGAAGTTGGTTGGTTTGTTGTTTAACGCCGCACTCAGCAATAATCCAGCTATATGACGGCGGTCTGTTAATAATCGAGTCTGGACCAGATAATCCAGTGATTAATATCATCAGCATCGATCAACGCAATTGGAATCGATGACATGCACTAACCAAGTCAGCAAGCCTGACCACCCGATCCAGTTAGTCGCCTTTTACGATAAGCATAGTCGCCTTTTTACGGCAAGAATGGGTTGCTGAAGACCTGTAAAAGGCGATTATGCTTGTCGTAATTGCGTGGGTCGATGCTCATGGTATCAATGACTGGATTGTCTGGTCCAGACTCGATTATTGTCATATAGCTGGAATATTGCTGAGTGCGACGTTAAACAACAAACAAACCAAACCCAAACTGCAGGCAAGAGAATTCAGTGTGAAACCAACAAACAGCCAGTACGTGGTCTACATTAGCAATTGTATTATATAATTAACTTGTTTTAAAAATTAATACAACTTACTCCAACATAATTACAATGGTAGTCAGTACACAATTCTATGGCAGTATATAATAAAACAGAAGGGGTAATAGCAAAAATGTCAGTGATACTAATAATATTCACCTTGCAGGCAACAGTGGTTGAGGTTCCAAAATAGACCAAGACTGGATTTAAAGGGTGAAAAATGATCTTGATGTAATGTGAAGTGAGATATGTGACACTTTGGTCCAGTTTAATACCATGCTGGAATAGTCATTAGCATTCTAGAAGATTCCAGATTGTACTCGACTCCAAAAGCATCGAAATAGAAAAACTTCTACACCACTGCTTACATTAGATAGTAGTGTTATAAGGTTAAAAATGCATCTCAGAAACTAATGATAATAAATAGAACCCATTAGATATAGTTCGTGACAGAACTTGTAATTGGAAAGGAATCAATAGAGAAAAGACATTTCACATTTATCATTGGATTGGTCTCTGGCTATTATCCATGAGTTAATGAAACAAATGGGGAATTACAAGGTATAAGCCATTTGGAGCTTCGGAGCGAGTCACGAAATCAATAGAGAGATGAGCAATCTGGCACGTAGGTTTTTGGTATTTTTCCGATGGCGACACACATGAGTTCATGGTCAGATATAAACTTGTAACGAATCAAATGGAGGTATTGAGACATGTGACAAGGACAGGTCAGGCTCGAACACTATATAGTAGGATATTTCTGATAACTAATTATTGTTACAACACAATGTTATTAACGTCTACTGAATCTTAACAGAACAAATTTCATCCAATTACAACATAAACAATAAATTACACTGACATATTATGGACATTATTGTTAGTCAGGCTGTGAATAGAATAGGTCACACACTGCATAAAAGTCTCCAGCTTCTGAAGTTGTCGTTTTCTTGGCGGCAGTATTTAAATTGACGTGTGAAAGGACGTATTTCACAATATTTATGTTTCCACTTTCACATGCCAAATAAAGAATATCGTGGCCGTTTCTATCGGCAAATGACAGATTTGCTCCTTTTTTCTCAAGTAAGTGAAACACTTCTCTATTTCCAAAAAAAGCCGCCATCATGACTGCGCTCATTCCGCCGTCTCCTCTTCTGTTAATGTCTACTATATTCTGTGCGAGAATAAACTCCGCTATCTCCAACTTTCCACCAAACGAGGCAGAATGAAGAATGGTGTTGTCATATTTATCCACAAGTGCCAGACTCGCTCCTTTCTGCAGAAGTAAATCAAATGCTTCTTTATTTTGACTCATTGCTGCAATCATGAGTGGAGTCTCCTCATTTTTTGTTCTCGTGTTGATGTCATCCACAATATTCTGTGTAACAATATACTTCACTATGTCCATGTTAAATCCACGACAGGCCAGATGAAGAATGTTCTCTTGGTTTGCATTTACTCTTCTTAGATCAGCAGATTTACTAACCAGCAAGTCAAACACTTCTCCAAGTCCCCTTTCTGCTGCCAGCATCACAGCTGACATGCCCTGAAAATCTTGACTGTTGATGTCCACAATATCTTTCGAGATTACATACTCCACTATTTGCGTAAATCGTCCTTTGCAGGCAATGTGAAGGACGTTGCAACGAGAAGCTGCCTCCAGTGTCAGATCAGCCCCTTTCCTCATAAGTAAGTCAAGTATTTCTCTATGTCCTCCATCTGCTGCCATCATTGCTGGTGTAAATGCATAGTTTCCTTTGGTGTTGATGTCTATGTTGTTTTGTTTGAGGACATACTTCACTATATTAACATTTCCACCTTTACACGCCAAATGAAGGATGTCGTTGTCGTCGTCATCCACATCCACAGTTATATCTGCTCCTTTTCTGATAAGTAAGTCAAATATTACTCTGTATCCTTTGTCTGCTGCCGTCATTGCTGCCGTCTGTCCATTCCATCCTATGCTGTTGATGTCTTTAACATTGTGCTGGAGGACATACCTGACTTTATCCGCATTTCCTCCATAACAGGCCCAGTGAAGGATAAACTCGTCTCCTGTATCCTCTGGGGACAGATTAGCTCCTTTCTTCACAAGTAACTCAAACGTATCTCTATGACCGTTCATTGCTGCTACCATTACTGGGGTTAATAAATCCTCTCCTTCGGTGTTTATTGCAACAAGGTTCTGTTCGAGAACATATTCCACTATGTCAGTATTTCCTCCCTCACATGCCTTGTGAAGGATTGTGTCATGAATTACAATTCCATCATGCATTAAAGACAGATCAGCGCCTTTTTGCACTAAGAAATTAAACACGTCCAGTTTCCCGTAATATGCTGCATGCATTACAGGTGTCTGTCCGCTGTATTTCCTGTTTATCTCCATCCTGGTCTGATTGAATACAGACCTTACTATCTCAGCATTTCCTCCCCGAATGGCCTTTTCAAGAACAGTAGATCCCTTATCATCCACTAGTGTTAGATCAGCTACTTTACTCACTAGCAATTTAAATACGTCTCCATGTCCCCTTAACGCTGTTAACATCACTGCAGTCGACCCGTCCCGACTTCTACTGTTGATGTCTGTCACGTTCTGTTCCAGGACATACTTGACTATTGGAATATTTCCCCCTTCGCATGCCATATGAAGGATGTTCATCCGAACACTATTCAAGATTGACATACTCGATCCTTGTCCCACGAGAAAGTCAAACACCTGTCTGTGAGCATTTTGTGCTGCAAGCATCAATGGTGTCATTCCGTCCTGCCCTCTTGTGTTAATATCTGCTTGACCCTCAGATAGTATGTTTTTGACTCGGCACATGTCTCCATTCTTGCAGGCATCGAGGAGATTAGTGTTTGACTGCGTTTGGTATTGCGTATGATTCTGTATTACTGTAAGAAGACATAACGATGTGTCAGCACAAAGATATATATTGACGTTTCTATATTGATCTGCAACTTACTTTGACATCTTATTTGGTTAAGTACGCGTACTTTTATAGTTGGTTGGTTGGTTTGTTGTTTAACGCCGCACTCAGCAATATTCCAGCTAGATGAGCCTGACCACCCGATCCCGTTAGTCGCCTCTTACGACAAGCATAGTTACCTTTTACGGCAAGCATGGGCTGCTGAAGACCAATTCTACCCTGCAATCTTCACGGGTCACCATCTTCGAAAAAAACCCACCATTGACAAAAGGTAAAGTCTCTTTCGTTTTTATCACCAGCAACATACATATCAATGTGCGATCTGTTCACAACTAGTTTCCAATATTTGGTGGTCGGGTAGCCTAGTGATTAAAGCGTTCACTCGTCACGCCGAAGACCCGGGTTCGATTCCCGACATGGGTACAATGTGTGAAGCCCATTTCTGGTGTTCCCCGTCGTGATATTGCTGGAATATTGCTAAAATTGGCGTTTAACCATACTCACTCACTCACTAGTAGCACTTATTTTAACCCCTTTCATAATCTCGTATTGTTTGTTGTCTAACGCTTCACTCAGATATTGGACAACGTCCTGCAAATCCTGGCCCAGATAATCCAGTGATTAGTATTGTGGTTTTGGTTTGGTTGGGTTTCTTGTTTAAATCCGCACTCAGCAATATTCCAGCTATATGACGGCGTTCTGTAAGTAATCGAGTCTAGACAAGACAATCCAGTGATTGACAACATGAGCATCGATCCACGTGATACGGCAAGCGTAGTCGCCGTTTACGGCAAGCATCGGTTGCTGAAGACCTATTCTACCCCGGATCTTCACGATTGATATTGTGAGCAAGGTGAAGTGGTAACACTGGGTTTAACGTTACGTTCAAGATCATTGCACTTATGCAGCGACGTTCATGCACGTGTGTGTTTGGCTGCTTGTACTAGTCCGGACTAATGCCGAATTTATAGTGCTAGCCTCCTGAGATACCATGCCGCAGTTTAACATGAATGTGCCACTCAGACACAGTATATATTCCTTGTTTTCCTTCTTTTAATGCCGAGCGCAAGGCGGGACAACAACAAGTTTCATCTTTAAACGTATTTAGGTATGACACGGCTAGGGATCGAAACCCAGACCGTCTGCTCTCCCAGCGGACACCCTACCACTAGACCACGGAAAGCCCCAAAGGGATGCAGGTCTAAGACGTTTACCACTTCGTTGAAACCAACGACCACGATTATGGTGCTGACAAAACCAGAAACATGATCGAGGTGAACCGTGATTCGAACCCACAGACACATTGTCGGGAATCGAGCGAACGCTTTAACCGCTAAGCTACCCGACCGCCCTTCAAGCAATATGATAACATATTGGTCATGGTAAGATTAAGCAAAAAGATGAATACGTTAACCTACTGAATGCTCATATCCCTGGGAACTTTTAATGGCTCAAATAGGTGTGAGTGAGTGAGTTGGGTTTAACGCCGCTTTTAACAGTAGTCCAGTTGTATCGCGGCGTGTCAGCTTAATGTGGGAGGAAGGCCCAAAGTGATGCAGGTCTCAGACGTTTACCACTTCGGTGAAACCCACGAGCACGGGTATGGTGCTGACAAACCTAGAAACATAATCGGGGCGAACCGGGATTCGAACCCACAATCATAGGTTTCTGGCGTGCCCAAGGGACCAATTAGGTGTGAGACGTGTTCGTTGTTCCAAAGGCCATATTATTTGTATTCAGAGACATCCGAAACTGTTGTATGTTCATTGTTCATCATACGTCTATATTGTGCATAATTATGCCTCAAAGTGAGAGTGACCAATCAGAAAGCAGATCTACTGACCCCACATGAGCCCGTTTGCCGTCAGTAAAAATCCAAAATGGTTGATACTGACCTCATATGAGACCGTATACCGTCAGTAACAGCCATCTTGGATATTCCAACACCCATCCCACATATTTCACATGGAAATTCTGGTAACGAAATTCGTTATTTGACACTGTTTTGTGTTTTACTATCATTAATTGTGATGTGCAAGGACATTTATCTGTTTTTTAGATCACTTTCGTGACTTTATTGATAAAGGTTATAGTTAAACAAGTTTGGCCTCTAAGGTTTGAAGAGTAGTCTCCCTTTGACCCTTCACGTCACGATTTCATTTTGACATGACACGTGCGATAAGGATACCAGAGAGTGTAAACTTTTTCGGCATAATATGTTTCTGGCATATGGTTTCTGGTATGACACCGTATACGGCTACTAAAGACACATTAACTAATAATGTATGTGTAAACATTAGTATGTTGAGTGTAAAGAAGACTGAAATACGAATACTACCTCTTATGTCAAATCGAGGTGTTAAAAGCAATGGTAAGAACAAGGAGGAGGATTAAATTCATTTTTTACCTTTGACACAGACAGCTTTTCCACTTCGGGTCTCCAAACATTTCATACCCTTGAAAATCTTCAATGAACAGGGGCCATCTTGGATCTGTAGACACGAGTGAATGTGGTAATAACGGAGTAATGGTATGTCATTTACGTTTCTTTAATCTGAGGTGGGGTGATGAAATGGGATTTAACGTCCCGTCCAAGATTATTGCACTTATAAAGCGACGCACATGCACGTGTATGTGTGTGTGTGTGTGTGTGGCTACTTGTACTAGTCCGGACTGATGCCGATTTATAGTGCTAGCTCACTGAGATACCATGCCGCAGTTTAACATGAATACCCCACTCAGACACAGTATACTGACTCTGGGCCGACCAGTCCGTGTTTGTTCTCCTGAATGCCGAGCGTCAGACAGGGTAACAACAAGTACCATCCTTTAACGTCTTTTGGTATGACGCGGCTGGGGGTCGAACCCCGGACCTTCCGCTCTCCGGGCGGACGCTCTACCATTAGACCACGGAGGCGGTCCTCTTTAATCTGAAGACCATTTAGGTCCATTGCTGTCTCCGCCAAATGTATGTATTCTTGTTAACAAAAAGAAAGGCAAAAACGAATACATTCGGTATTCAAAGTCAAAATAGTCGACATTTGTAAATCTAATGTCATGTTGGGACAGCATGTTGCCATCGTTACCGTTACACAAAAGCATTGACCAGAAAGTTCAGATACAAAATGTGCAGATTCGCCAAAACACAGCTGCGTGCAAACCACGTAATCAATACATGCGCGTCTTCGGCACGTGCAACAACAGCATGAAAGCGCAGGGATTCCAAATGTCTGACAGCTGTATTGCGCCGACGTCTTCAACACGGCTACACTTAATGACAGCTCGGAGTACGACCACGGATCGAAAGAACAGGCCCATGAAGAGATACTTACTTGGAGCAGTCAAGGTTTACCCAAACGCGATAATGATTTTTCAATTCTAAAGATACATTGTCTCAGACATGATGTAATCGGATGTATGTATTGGCAACAAAACTCTTTCTATAATCATAAGAAATCACTGCTTAGAGTCCATTGTATGATAACAAGTATGTGTTAATGTATGTATCACATAGTAATGACGGCAGGAGGCACCAATCAAGAAAGGCATGTAAAGTCACGTCAAGCGTTCGCCTGATCTAACATTGGAAAATAGGATACAAGAGAACTTAGAGAACCGGACATCATTTTGGTTAGAGATGCATTAAATTCGAAATTGCCCTCCATGTCTGCCATGCTTTGAAAGTTTCCCTGACATATTGTAATCCTGATTAAACAACTTTGATGATGGTCTTTGATATCTTTGAAGAAAGACCATGCTCTATTGTACAATACCTTAAGTCATAATCAAGTAAATACACATGGACTTCTCACATGCTTCTTACATGCAACTTTCATTTTTTTATGAACATATGAAGTTATAATCGAACAATGATTTTCTTATGATAACGGAAAGGCTTTGGTCGCTTTTATGTTGTGATAATGAGCTAGCTTCTCGAACGGATTGATTCAAGTAACCTGCACGAACCTTGTTTAGCTCCATCTTCAGAAGATCACACACCAGGTTGTCAATAGTGCAGTCAATGATCAAGCTTCTGGCAGTACATTCGTGACTGCACATCTTGACTCCAAACATATCCAGATTTTCAATTTTCTGTCCCTTTAAGTCAGAATGAGTCATTGGTCCAACAGTGTCTACCCAGGCCCACATCAGGCACAGCCATATAAGGAACATGATCCTTTTCGGCCAGTCTTCCCAAATGATCAAG